TAAGTCGTTAATTCAGTATTATCAACGCTACTCTACACATACATAGGATTCATGATTATCAAATGAGCATTTTGAAATCGATTAAAAGCAATTGAAAAACAAATTTACCTGAACTCAATGTCAAATAATAATTAGTAGGCCTATATTAGGCATATTTCTCAGTTATATGAAATAGTGGTTGCATTTTTTTTTTCAAAATTACTTGTTGGGAATAATTGAAATAACTACTCCGACACTTCCTTTAAAATCATTTAAAAGCAGAGCGAGATAGGAAATAATTATGTGAATAGATATCATAATGATAATAATACAGATAGGCCTATAATAGTAATGCCAATATGTCGTTACATAAGGTGAGATATCCAGGCTCAAAAGATAAGGCTACATGATTAATAGCCTTAGAAGGTACATCGATTTGTGTTGATGGCATTTGTCAATATTGTTGTAAACTGAATAAAATAATAAACAAATGTAAGTTGTGAATATTAATTTATTATACCTAGTTAAAAAATACTTAAACACTATCTAAATTTACTCATTTACCTTCAAAAACCTGACATTTATGATAATTTTATAGGTCAAAAATGCTTTGGAAATTTGCTTTCCATTGACACAAGACATGTTTTCAACAAACATAAAATAGTATGTAACTGTAGTTAAAGCCATGGAATTACATGCATGGTTTTGGAATATAATATTTTTTATTATTAAATGATATTATAATAACTTAATGTATTTTGTTTCTTCAAATATAAGGCCTAAATAAAATTGGTACCCACATTTTAAAAACCATACATTTATAGTTATTGAGATAATTATAAGTCTATTAGTGTGGTTAAGTTTCTTTACTATTCAATCGTTGCTACGTCTGTGCAAAGTTGTAGAAAAGCGATAATTTGGAGAAGCGCACTTGAAACCAAATTAAATTCCTCTTCCCCAATTACTTCAGCATCGTCACATTTTTAAATGAGGCGGTGTACCAAAGTTAATCCGCCACGTCAGTGCTCGTCAACATTCCTAAGTACGTTACTCTGCAAGCATTTCTTTCGATTCTAAAGCTAATTTCACCAATTCATCGAGCGTCTCTGCGTACGTATAAGCCGCTTACAGGGCAGCTAATCCGGTACTATCGACAAAATGAACAATACGATCAATTGTACCTTTTGAAAAATCCCACGTCCCTGGTAAACTCGGGCTAAAAGATGAGTAATTAGCCACTGAAAGATCAGTTAAAATCAGGCGGTTTTTCGGGGTGTTACAAGTTGAAGCCTCAACGGTGCGAATTTGTCTTTACTATTTGAAAAGCTCGTTTAAAGGCGTTGATGAATTCTGAATCTCTTTAAACAAACCTTCATTGCTTTGAGAGTATGTAATATCAAGGAGGAATTAGTTTAAACATATTCCTCCATGGTAATATCAAGTACTGTAACTAATTCAAAAGAAATTAATTTAAAAAAACTACATTGTCATAATCTTTATTTTTTTACAATTGATATCCTAAACAGAATGTGATATATACGGTATATATACTGTCTCTTATACACATCTAGATGTGTATAAGAGACAGCCGCTACTGCAGGTGTTGTTATAGTTTATATATTAATCCTTAGATGGGCACCGCTACTGAATCGAATAAGAATTGTGGTATGTAAAATAGTAATAAGTGGGATTTGTATAGCACATAATACGGAGATCTCTATTCTCGATATGTTTGTATTTATTGAGGTAAATCTTGCACTATCATATAGATTATTATGTATGAACTAAATTCGTCCATGTTTTTAAAAACATAATAATTGTCAATTCTAGTACAAAAAATTACAGAAACGGTGGTACTACCCCCTTATAGTAATGTTTTCAAAACTCCTGTCTTACCTCTGATTTACAATGTTATAAATTAGGGGTTTAATAAGAAAAAAAGTTTCACAAATTAGAGATGGGTAAGCTTACATTAGCTTACATGTTGGGGGCGCTCTTCAAAAATGATTACAATTGAACCTATAGGCCTAAACATTGACTTCAGATTTTTGAAATTTAAATATTCTCAAACTATTTATTTTGTTTCATTTAATTAAACATATTTTTCAACAGAGTAAAGTAATTAGGTCGAAATAAATCGCAGACTTCAACTAAAACCAAGAACAGTTTTTCGGTGTTTTCATTACGGTACGGTATATATTGAGGGTGGTCTTTTAAGTGATGTCACAACGTAACGCTAAATTGAGATTGTTTTTCGATTTCATTTCTAGTATATAATTTTTAAAACAATAAAATACAAAAGTTACAAGTTTTTTGGTCAATGGACCAGACATGATTACAAGAGAATCGTAAGTATTGCACTTGTAGCAGAATTTTAAAGGGAGTCCCGTTTAAGTACCATGGACCTTAACCAGCAGACTTCAACAATAGCCTAAAAACGTCCTTTAAAATGGCAACAATTACACAATACAAACTACCAACCATACATGTCACTTTTAAGTGTTATGAATAACTGTTTGTATGAAAACTGGCTCGAAAGATATCAAGATGAAAGCTTATTTTTGAAAGTCTAACAATTTGGAGAAAAACCTAGATACTAGATAATAGTTAATGTGAATGTGGTTTTGGTCCAGCAATCATGCGTAGAGATGTAAACCGAGTTTTGATGTGGAATCATACGAATCAAATGTGTGCTCAACAGACTGAAAACACAAAAGTAAGAGGTTAAGAAAATATTCTATAGAAGAGCATTTGAGTGGTTAAAGTCCCAAGGTCTTCCTCCCGTGTTATTGCAGGTCAAATAAATACGTGGCCTAAAACATTCTACCTGTCTTACGCGTTGAGCAAACATTTACCTGTAACCCCTGCTGAGGTAGAACTATGCGAGCAACACTTGTTTCTCGGTTTTATTTCTAAAGAACTATAAGATTTGTTTGCCAGGGAAACGTTGAACTTTCATGTCCTAATTTACACAACTATACAATATTGACTTATCGATATTGAATTTGAGTTAGAGTGGAATTGTGTGGTTTCAAAGTCACACTACTGTCCTACATTATAGAATAAGTATTATAATAAGAAACGGTGTAATCATGGAGATTTTGTATAAAGATTCGGAAAAATCAAAGCTTTTATACAATTCTTCAGACTTTTTGTTGTAACTGATATGCTGACCACAGAAAAAGAGATTTTTATAAAGTAAATGAAAATAAATATCGAGTCAGTTTATGCACAAACAGTTGCAACAAAAACCTTACAACCTTGCTCAATTCTAAACAAATTCGCATTGCTTTATCATTAGTTAATATTTCTGATTTCGATGCGATTTAAAAATATAAATTAGTGCAACATTAGTGAGAATTATTCTCCTATCTTGCTTAAGAATTAAAAAAATGTATACAGCGAATATGACAGCAAATCTCTTAGTTACATATTGTAATAGTGTAGCCCATTTCAACGGCGGATTTCGGGGGTTCAAAGGGTTGAATAAATGTAACAAAATACAAGGGTCCTGGCTTACAAAAATCATGCTAACCTACCTGGAAGATCAGACAAACTAGGCTTAGCCCAACTAGTTTTCAATTAAATAAATTATACACACTGTTTTTGGTCGTAATAATTTATGTACGAAAGTGATTTTTTTCATGCCTATCGGCTCATCGATCCATGGAAGAAAGACTACATATCTAACTACTCAATGTTGTTGGAATATAATAATAAATTGCCTATCTTTGATTTTTTTTCCCTCTATGATAGGCCTAAAGATAATGAGATAAAATTACCTGACCCTTTTTCAAGAGGGGGAAAACCTCGAATTTTGAAGAACTTAAAGGTCATTAAAAGACCCCTCAGTCGGGAAAGTTCATTTCCTGCCATCTAAAAATGTAAATTAATAAAAAAAACAAAAAAAAAAACAAAAAAAAAACCCTCTTTTATTTTGGGGTTTTTGGGAAACATTTTGAAGCCATCTTATTTAAATCATGGATACGCCCCTGAATTTGGTTCTGTAAATTTTCAAAGCATTAATAGATTGAATGCAGTTTAATCAGTCATCATACAATAAAATAAAGGGGTAGAACATTTTTTATAGGCCTATCATAATTGTTGTTAGGCTACACAAACTTCTGCTGGTCTTGTCTGTTGTCGAAAGAGTGTGTAATAAACTTAGGCCTAAAAGTTAGTGAAAACAGTCGTACTTAGAAAAGGTTTAAGTTAATAAAATGTATTAAAATAATTTCATCTGGTTTCGTAAAATATATTAGAAAAAACTTAACTTGGTTTAACATCTAATAAACATTTTTTCCTAGTATAAACTATTTACATTCTTCAAGTTCAAGATATATTGTTATCCACAAAATACAAGTTCATTTTCTCGATAAAATAACAAATAATAACTGTAGTTTATTTTTTTAACCCATACGTGCAAGTTAGCTTGATACCTTTCAAACAAACAAAATTCTTGTTGGTTAATTATGCTTCATTAAATAGCCATAATGTGTTATTCAGACCTTTGCTATTAGTGTATATTTATGGTGTTCTTTATTGTTTTTCGTTTTCTTTTTTGTTCTTCTCATTTATTCAAATTTATATAGGCCTAAAATGTTTAGTCTGTGATCTGTAAAAAGTTTTAAACATGTCAATTAAAGCATGTTCTAATTACTCATGTAAGATTATGAAATAAATTCTGAACTTTCAATTACACATGGACGAAAATAAATTTTGTATTCTCGTTAGATTAGAACTTGTTTCTACAAAAATCTTTAACTTGATTACCAGCCAATGTAAGAGTCTATGTAAAGAATACAAAAGTGGTTTATTTATGGGTTTTGTTAATGACGATGATATACATTTTTCGTTATAATTTTTTATTTTCAAATTAGAAGATAATAAGAGAATAACTTATTTATAAGTATTACAGAATCGATTGTTTTGTTGAACATTTTTGAAATATCATATCAAAATCATACAAAGTAGTAATTTAAAAACTGAAATTTATTTTTCTAATATCCCAAGAGAAACGGTATAATATTTTTTTTAATTAATTTTTATTTTTAGTAATTTTAGTTTGCCAATGTTTCCATTTATATTATTCTCAATTGTTTTCCAGCGATTAAGTACCGATTATGATGTTTGTAAGTGGTCCTACTAATACTTTCGGGCGGATAATTGAAAACGGACGATAATCTCCTAACAAGAGGGGAATACACGACAAGATACCACAGTAAATCCGTGATTGCTTATAATTCAGAGGATTTCTCAAGGAATGTTACAATTTATATGCAAATTAGACTGGATAAAGCCAATAACTATTGGTAGCCTACAGAAAAAAAAAACAACCTTCGTTTGCTGAAAAATTGCCTGTCTGTACTTTTTTTTCCTACTGAACTGATTTAGCGTTTAATTAACCGTACATTTTTTTGTTTCTAAACTCGATCGATCTCAATCATAAGAGAATCTTAACCCCAAATCAAAATTGCAATACTAAATTGATATAGTATATAGGTGAATTTCACCATCAGATCTCTACGGGAAGCAAGTCTTCTGGCTTCCATGGGTTATTCTTGGTGTATTTAACACCAAATAAAATCCAATAAAATCCAATCCAATTTCAGCCAGCTGTTATACTCGAGTATGTTATATTTTTACCAGTATAAATAGGCCTAAGAATTCAAATTACAACCAAGGAAATCTATGAAATATTGAGCATTATCTTTCGTATTTATACATAATAAGTGTATTTATAATGGGCCTATGTTTGTGTACTGTTTTAGTGAAATAGCTGGCCTATATCGTTTGACTGAACATTTCGTTCGTTAGTGTCCTTACTCATTTATTCACTTTCACAAGCTGCATTGCATTACATCTGTAATTTGGGAGCACAAACTTCGATCAGAAATAACAAGCCATTTGTGTATAACCCCACAAAAACAAATAACGTTACAAGTAAAACAAAAACAAAATCGAATAAATTAGTCACCCATCATTAGTCTATCGGCCTAATGCAAAAACACTTTTACATCAAAAGCGTTTAAGAAGAAACTGTACAGAGAGATTACTTTGCAATGCAATTCTAAACTTGAGGCTTGTGATTGAAAACACATGCAAAGGTGAAATAACTGGATTCAAATATTACTGCAGTATGATTCTTTTTACATTTGGTAGAATCGAACAAGCTCGGTTTCCACTGACTTTTCTTTTTTTTAAATTATGGTTTTGTCAAATGACCTAACTCATTATTATACGTGTCATGTAGGCCTATGTAATGTATGAGAAGTAGATACTTACATAATGTGAATAATGAGTTTATGGCTTGTTATTTATTTCTGATCCATTACCATGACAACTGCACTTTTTGTCGTTTTCTCTTTTCTTCTAATGATAATAATGATAATAGTAATCATGAGGACAACATTGATGATGATAATAATGATAGGCCTAATAATGATGATGATGATGATAATGATGGTAACTATTTATTTATTTATTTCAACAATATATTGTGATGGTGGTCCATCCAGCCTCACAAAATATTGTTGAAATAATTAAATAAATAAATCATTGTCGTCATCATAATAGTAATATAATAATAGTAATGGTAATAATATTAGTAATAATAAATAAATAATAATAATAAATAATAATAATTATTATATTATTATTATTTCATCGTTTAAGTCATAATGTTACACCATAAATTACTTATACGGTAGTGTAGAATAACTTATTCTATGTTGTACTAAGTTCTCTAACATTTTCTGAAGCGAAATAATGAATGCTGACGTCTGACACAAATAGGAAATGACTTTTCAACTCAAGTAGCGTAATGTAAAACCCAAAAATCTGTTTTATAATAATAATAATAATAATAATAATAATAATAATAATAATGATAATAATGATAATGATAATAATAATACAGAATAGGCCTATTCATTATTATTTTATCGCTGATTTATATTGTTGTATCAAAGACTTATTGACAGATAAAATCCTTGTTTTTATATATTAAATCGTAAACTAACTTCCATTAGGTTACAGGACAAGATAATTGTTATAATGTGACAGTTATGATAAAATATATGAATGGAAACGAAGCCTACCTACAATTTCCATTTTCTTGTTTCCGACAACCTCAACACGAAAGTTCTACTTGTTAAGGGACGCTGAACAACTGAATCGAAAAGAAAAATAAACAATTATATGTATTTGAAAGGAAAAATAAAATACAAATGAAATAGGCCTATAAAATAGTTCACATCTGAACGAACGAAGCCAAATGTATTTAGTTGAATTTCCGTTGCCTGTTCAAAACATACCTAATGAAGGCTCAACATATATTAGAGCTGAGAAAGCGTTTCCGTTCCAACAAAAAGTGAGCAGGCAGGAAATATAAATATTGATTTTGACTGTGAATTCTGCGCCGAATACTCTTTAAGCATGTCATTAACCAAACCTTTATTTTTTCTGTACACTTACAAATTAGAATAAGCACATGACGTGGTTATGTATACTATTAATGAAACTGACAGAAACTAGGCACATTTTCGAATTATGTACTTTCTAATTACAATTCAACAATACTAGGTTGGTCGTATCTATGCATGTATGTGGATCCAATCATACAACTCAAACATATTTAAACAAACTTCTATGAATTATCAGTATTTGGTGTGCTTTTTTCTATAGAAAAAAACGAAGAAATAAAGTTATGATACAAAATTTAAATAATATGCATATGTCAATTCCGTTACTATTCAGATGATTTTGTGTATTTATAAGGTTTATTAAAAATGAACGATAAAATAATGTAATCAATTAGATCAAGATATCATACTCTTGTCAACTCATCACTGTTCATTATTATCGTTAAGTATTTATTTAAAATAGCCTATATTCTATTAGTTATAAGGGCCTAGTTAGTTTAAATTTGTTCGATATATGAAAATGTTTAGGCCTGTTTTTATAAGATTCATATATTGTGTCTTACTGTTACTGGTAACCAAAGAACTAAATATCCAAACTTATTTAACATCACGTTTTTTCATAAGATTTTCTTCTATAGTATCGATTCATCAACGCATTACTCATGATAACCGCTAATAAGCTAAGTTCTTTGATTAAAAATAAAAGTGTTTTGCCTTGTGTTATATTGACTATGCATGTGTTTATTTGTACAAACTGCTGAACCGAAATAGAACGATGATTCTACAGAAAGATAACATAGGCCTACATAAAAAGAAAAAACTGAAATCAGAAATGAATTCAATATTGATACAAGGTGGATTTAACTATACACTTATAACCTATTTTTTTTTTTTTTTTTTTTTTTTGGAGAGTTATGATATCAAGTAAATCATGTTGACGATTAGGCCTATTATCACATGCTGTTGGTTTTATAATCTCATAACCAAACACAAAGTTTTCTCCCACTGGAAGTAGATGGAAATAAGCCAGGAAACTGGAAACAAGCTATCTCTATTATGTAAGAAGGAGGTGTAAATTATTACAGCTACGTAGAGTATTTACCAGCGAAAGAAACTAATCAGTTTGGAAATCATCACCTTCATAATTTATAAGTCTCATTCGTGAGAATGTTGTATGCGCGCATTATAGAGGGCGTATTAGATGTCGTAGACGATGGGGGAGTACGTAGAGTCTGAACATGTCTCATCAAACATGGCCGTCTCGAAGAAACAATTACTGGTAACAACAGACAAGAACAACCGAGACAGAATTCCCAACAACAGAATCAAACAATAAAAAAAGTCTCCTCATAAAACACATAAAATACAAACAAGCCAAGAAAACAAAAGGGCACACAATCATGATATTAATAATTATAATAATAATAATGATAATGATAATAATAATGATAATAATAATAATAATAATAATAATAACAATAATAATAATAATAACAATAATAATAACAATAATGATAATGATAATGATAATGATAATAAATAATAATAATAATATAATAATAATAATAATAATAATAATAATAATAATAATAATAATAATAATAATAATAATAATAATAATAATAATAATAATAAATTACATTGCATGAATATCAAAAAGCAAAACTAAATACAACATTATAAAATTGCAGTTACATTAATTTCATGAAAATTATTTTGAAATACGTAGATGGAACTTCTTGTCCCTTCCATAATTTTACCATTAATTAGGTAGTTTAAGCTCTCTCTTGATTCTTAGGCCTATTAATAGGCATACTTATGAGATCAGTGCTATTCTGCTGCCCACAGGTTTCACAAAATGCCGCCAACGAGTCTGATAATATTGACTCAACCTGGCTTCACCTCAAACTATGGATGACTAATTCACGATATTTACATTCACAATATTATAATGTTCTTATTTTCAGTTAGGCCTACATGATTTTCCTGCAAGAAAAACCATGTAATATTCTATATGATTGTCATTGTTAGAATTAGTTTATTTAGAACTTTCATGACGCTTCGTTGCATGTAAAAATGGCAGACAATTTTGATTTGTTTAATTTTTAGTAAGGATATCTCGGTAATGCGCACTCAATCTGACTTATATTTGGTATATTTATTCAGTAAAAGATCACATACAAAAACAGTCCATTGTAGCATAAATGTTGAATTGTCTGACTAAATATAAAATTACAAAAGTATAGATATAGGACTAATCGGCAATTATAAATTTACAAATCTCTATTTAAAAATATATAGTACACTACTATATCGACAAATTTATTGACAGATGAATGATATTACTGCATATAGATCAATTTCTGAATATTGACTTATTTATATGCAATAAACCCCTTATACATGGAAATAAATGTCCAATTAACCAGCATATAACTTGTTGGAAAATGTATTTTCTGGTAAAACATCTAAGTACGGGTACGCTAATAAATAATTAATACATATATAGTACATTGTGTGGTCAAGATTTTGATTAAATGAAAAACTTTTCTGCATGTTTTAATTATTTTTGCCATTTTCTTCGCAAAGCAATAATATAATTATAATATATAATATTAATTATATAAAATATATATATATATGATTAGTATTTATCTATACATAGAAATGTTTAAAATTAATTATACCATCTCATAACGATGAATTTTTATGTATAGTACTTTTCAAGATACATAGGCCTACATCTTTAGTAAAATGTAGCAAGACATCATTTTAAAACTATTTCATTGTTTTTATTTTTGATGTCTTGAAGACACATAATGTCATTTAAAATTTGATACAGTGTTTAGAAGAATTAAGAAAAAAACCCAGTTATTTTATCGTAAATAGTTCATATTGAATGTACAACAATAACCGTTATTCACAGTTTCAGTAAAGGCTATAGGCCTACATAAATTATGGAAATAATTGTACGATTAAATATCTGACATTCAGAAATCACATTATTATACAATAGGTATTAATTTCACATATATTTGATTTGAACTCGTTGTTAGCTAACCACCAAAGATTCGTTTTATCTTCAGATAAGCTATGTCTATTGAACTCAACACAATTAATGATTATTGCATTGTTGGTATAATTTTTTCACAATAGGAAAATATAGTATGTCGAATTATAATCAACTATTCTTAGGGAAGCCTAATAGATATATTGTATAATGAATTCTCAACATCAATATTTATGAGTAAAATTTTACGTACGTGAACTGCATGCTCGTTTTAATTGCTTTAGCTTTTTCTTCGCAGTGTTTAGAAGAATTAAGAAAAAAACTCAGTTATTTTATCGTAAATAGTTCATATTGAATGTACAACAATAACCGTTATTCACAGTTTCAGTAGAGGCTATAGGCCTACATAAATTATGGAAATAATTGTACGAATAAATATCTGACATTCAGAAATCACATTATTATACAATAGGTATTAATTTCACATATATTTGATTTGAACTCGTTGTTAGCTAACCACCAAAGATTCGTTTTATCTTCAGATAAGCTATGTCTATTGAACTCAACACAATTAATGATTATTGCATTGTTGGTATAATTTTTTCACAATAGGAAAATATAGTATGTCGAATTATAATCAACTATTCTTAGGGAAGCCTAATAGATATATTGTATAATGAATTCTCAACATCAATATTTATGAGTAAAATTTTACGTACGTGAACTGCATGCTCGTTTTAATTGCTTTAGCTTTTTCTTCGTTGTATTCTGAAGAAAATTGTTTTTTTTTAAATGTGATGATATCGGCTAATATTATTTTTTAGACTTGAGTGTAACCATATCGCTGGATAGTAATCAGCCTTTTTCCAAAATTAGGATACAATTTAGAGAAAAACATGATATCATATGTTCACAAAGCCGTAGACTTTTGATCTTTTGTAAGTTTTAGGTAAAACTAATGAAAAAACGCCATTTAACTTCGTTCGATTTTGTTTCATTTAAATTAGAATGATGATGCCACAATTTGTCTTTTGTCCATCTGACGGCAACTCACACAATAAATTGTATATCTAGGCTTTGGTCACGGTAGGAACTTACGAATTCTTAAACGTGTTTGGACTTCTGCAAAATTTACTTGCTGTTTTGCTGTACGTAAACGTGAAGCAGAGGGCAACAACTAGACAAAATATTAAGGCAGGGAACGAAAAATAAACAATAATATTGTTTAATAAAGTATTTCAAAAATGACTCTAAAACATTAGGCCTATTTGTTCATATTAGGAAAATATTGATGACATGATAAGTATGGAAAGCCCCATTTTAAATGGAACCGTATCTTTCTCCGGTGCTGGATTCAGAATCGATATGCCAATTAATATGATTCTATTTATATAACACGTTAAAGCTTATATTTAAGATTTCCAGTAAACTAGTATTGTGACAAAATTGAATTCATGTATTCAGGTTTACATATCAAATCCAATTTAGTCATTGATTATAATAGAATCGCCTCGAGCGTGTGTTATATGAAATGTTCATCTAATTATATAAATAATTGCATCCTCAAACATAACTAAATATCAGAGATTTGTTATGGTTCGGTTAATGAGATTTCGAACTTACAGACAGTATACAGTTGTGTATACTATGGATGTAGGTGATGTTTTCTGATCAAGCACATGTTTTTCATGCATGCCGACCAATCTTCATGTCTTTATTCAATCCATCTGATTCAAT